TCGGCCGCTGCCTTGGGCGATGGACACCCAGCTGCGAGCGACCGGGCGCCCAATCCGCCGCCGCGTTGGCGAGGCTCACGCACGGGAGGGGTGCGCTCCCCGGGTACAGAGAGAGAGTGACGCCCCCGTGGCGCCGACGAGGCACCTCGCTCCCCGCGCCGGGGAGCGGTGGCGTCACCTTCGCTACCAGCTCCTCGTTGGTGACTGTGGCTGGGATGGCCACCTCGCTCTCCTTGTCAAGCAGAAAGGCGCTCTCCGTCAGCAGGGCACAGCCAGCTCGGGCGCGTGCCGTCTCGGCTTTGAGGGTGCGCGGGACACACGCGGATGTCAGCTGAGGCAGGCTGGCGCCGGTTGCAAGCTCGTCGTCGCCCGACTCGCCGACACCAAAGGAATCGTCGGCGTGGCGATCCCACGCGACTGGCCGCTTGCTCACAGTGATAAGGAGAGCCTGGAGCGGATCGTAGACCAGCGCGGTGGGGCGCTCTGGCGCACCGTGAAGATGAGTTATGCATTGCACGGGGATGAGCATCCCCAAGTCCCAAGTGCGTATGGTGCCTTGCGTGTCGAGCGAAATCAGCAAATCTGGCTCGTGGAGAGGGGCACTGCCCCCGCTCTTCCTCGCTGGGGCCAGGCAGAGGTGAGTCACAGACGTGTGATGGCCGATGAGGCAACCAACGAGCTCGCCATTCTCGAGACTCCACACGTTTACGCTGCGCTCGAGCCCACCAGAAGCGCACCGCAGCCGGCCCGGGGCAAGCGACGTGACCAAGAACGTGCGCACTCCCTTGCCTGCAGCAGAGCGCAACGTATACGTCGGGCGGTGGCGAGCGACGGGATCCTTGTTCCCTGGTAGCTCGACAGGTGTCACGCGGATGGTCCCGTCGAGCGAAGAAGAGAGAAGCGACTGCACAGAGGCCGGAGCCCACTCGATCTGGGTTATCCAATCGCTGTGAAGGCTGGACAGCGTACAAATCTTGGCGGGGTTCGTCAAGGATTGAGTGAGCGGCGTCGGGTCTCTGCCACGCAAAAGAGCCTCGGCTGCCTCGGTGCGCAGCAGCGCGGCGAGGTGGGTCGCGTCAAAGATGTGCACCTACATTACATGCAGAAGGTGCGTCGTCGGCGAGGGCTCGGCTGCGGCCTCAACCGAGGGGCAGCGGCCGCGCCACGCCAGCGACATCGCCGATTGCGAGGCAGAGCTGGCCGCCCGAGAGGCTCCAGCCGTGCAAGGCGATCGGAATGGCTGGGCAGAGCATTCGACCGTGCAAGCCACAGCGGTCGTCGTCCAGCAGGTCAAAGTAGGAGACGTGGCAGTCGGAGCTCGCGACCGCCACCTTGCCAAGGGGCTGAGGGAGAAGCACTGTCGCATTCACCTCGAAGCCGCGGCTGCAGACTCTCAACGTTGCCACGTGCTCGAGAGTCGGGGCGCGCCAAACTCTCAACGTCCCATCATTGGAAGCGGTCAAGTACGCAGGGAGGCGTGGGAAGAGCATCATGCAGCCAGCAGCGTCGCGGTGCCTGGGGCACGGGGTAAGGCGATGCGTTTTCGCGAGCATTTTTAGTACCTCGTGTGACAGGAACGCGCATGCTACATGCAGCGAACTAGTGCAGAGTTCCACGATTGCGGGCGTAGGCCCGCGTCGCGAGGCATCTCTCTCTCTCTCTCTCTCTCTCTCTCTCTCTCTCTCTCTCTCTCTCTCTCGCCCCCTGCACGCTGTACGTAGTGGGGCCGCGTAGCAAGGCGCGAGGTGCGTCACTCGCCGCGCGTGCCGCCTCCGCCCTCCGTGGCTCTCCTCGCGCCTCTCCCCCGCGCAGGGGATCTCCACGCCGCCCTCCGCCCTCACAGCTTGAGGCTGAGCATCCCCTCGAGCTGGCCGAGCTCGCTGACGGTCTCCTTCTTGCTGTCGACCTTGCCCTGCTGGTCCTGCAGAGAGAGCAGTGCGGTTGGAGCGAGTGGACGGACGAGAGAGGGGGGGGTGGGGCGCGGGGTGAAAGCAGGGCCAGAGAGAGAGAGAGGGAGAGAGCACGGGGAAGGGGGGAGGGGAGGGGGGGGAGAGGAGAGGCGCGTGCGGCTCACCTCGTTGAGCGTCTCGCCGCCCTTGACGCGCTCCTCCAGCTCCTCGATCTGCCGCACCTGTGCACATGCACAAGCAACTCGTCCACTCCCCCCTCACAGCTGTCGCCTCCTCCGCCTGCCCGCACCTTCTTCTTGAGCGCCTTGATCTTCTTGCCGACGTCGACGTCGCCGACCGCCTCCCACTTGGCGATCTCGGCAACCATCCGCTCCTTGGACGCCACCTTCGCCGTCTGGCACCAGCGCGTGGCGGCGGTGAGGCTGGCGGTGGCGGCAGATGAGGCTAGTGGCGGCGGCGACAGTGAGGTTTGGTGGCGGCGGGAATGCTGGCGGCGGCGGCGGCGGATGAGGAACCACGCGTGTGCGGCCGTGGGAGTGCGTGCGCCACGTGCGGCTCTCGGGCGGCGAGCCTGGTCCGCTCCGATCTCTATCTCGACTCCATCTCGGGCTGATCTCGGATTGCGCTAAGCCTGGTCCGGGTTGAGCGCTGCGCCGTTCGCCTTTCGCTCCTCGAGCTCCTCGACCTGCCGCAGCCGTTTGCGCAGCGCCTTGAGTTTCCGCTCGACTTCGCTCGCCTCGCCCCCACCCTCGGTATCGCCCGCACCGCCCGCACCGGCGGCGGGCGTCTCCCCGGCAGCCCCTACTGCTGGCGCTGTGGCTCCGCGCCCGGCAGTCGGCGTCGCATCGCGCTCGCCCCCCTCCTCGTGCAGGAGCGCGTCCACCTCCTTCTTTTTTCGCGCCGCCTCGTTTCTCCGCTTGTTCTTCGCCGCCGTTTTGCTCAGCGGCTTGGCCGCCGCGCCATACTCCATGCCCGGGATGCCTGCGGGCTGCGACTCGTCCTTCCACTGGTCGGAGTACTTGGCCTGCTCCTCCGGCGGCACATATCCCTCCCGCACGCGCACCGCTGGTCTCAGGGTGCCGTCCGGCCGCCTGCTTCGCACCTCGGTGGTCATCGTGCTCACGGGGCACCGGGAGGGCGCACTCTCCGCCGCGGCCGTGTGAAAATAACAAGGCTGTGAACGGGTACCGGGTAGTCTCCCCCCATACAGGAGTGGCGCCGAACGCACTGGCGACCTTGGAGTGCGCCGTGGTCGAGAGAAGCGAAGCCATTCGCTCGGGCATAATACACTGTCTTCAGCGAGGTCCCATGTCGCATGCCCTGCGTGCCACAGCGTCGACCGTGTGCGAGTCTCGCTCGGCGAACCCCGTTATTATTCAAGCAAGAGGGCGTGGGTCTGTGGGCTTGCGGCGCCCTGCTCAATGCAAACGCTGCGCGAGTACATGTACCGCGACAAATTGCCTTGCAATTTGGATACAAGCTGTATGGCAGCCTCCCCGTGTCTGCAGCCTGGCGTTTGTCCACACTGGACAATCGTCGGCAGGCGTGAGCGATCGCGGCGAGACTGCAGTCGACGCGAGCGCAGCGAGGGGGGCGATGGGCATGTACATGCACATAGGTGTCGTTTGGGGAAACTCGTACGTTTGTTTGCTGCGCGCGCGCCGTTTGCCGCGGAGAGTTCTTTCTTTAGCGGTGTTAGTGCGCGTCAGTCCCGTGCCTCGTGTCGTGAGAACTTCCGTTCTTTTCAACCTTTTCTTTTGGGGGGTAAAACTCTTTTGCCTGTCTGGTGCCGCGTAAAATAAAGAAAGAAAACAGCGATGGCCGACTCCCACACGCATGCCACACCCCTCCTTAAAATCCCTGTGTGGTGGCGGCGTGCCGTCCTCCCATCTCTCCCTTGACCTTTCTGTTTTCTTTCTTTCTCTCTCTTTTTACGCATGCCGCTCCTGTTCATAGCTGCGCAACCCTAGCCGAGCTCCATTTTGGGGAGTAAAACTCTTTGGTCTCGTCCGCGTACAAATAAAGAAAGAAAACTCTGCAAATATCTCACGTGCTCGACGTTGGCGAGAGCAAGCGCGTATTTTTTGGCTCGCGCGACCCCCCAGCCACGCCGCCAACTCGAGCAGCCTATTTCCTACTTCGCCGCATCCTCACGCCGACTCCCACACGCATGCCGCTGCTGCAGCTCCTCAACTACATCGACGGCCGGCCTGTGGCGAGCAGGTCAACGGCACGGACAGAGGTCGTCGATCCTGCCACGGGCGAGGCCTATGCATCCGCACCCGACTCGGGAGAGGCCGATGTCGACGCCGCGATGACGGCTGCCCTGGCCGCCTTCAACTCCTTCAAGCGCACGACGCCCTCGCAGCGTCAAGGGTTCCTCCTCAAGATCGCGAGCGCCATCGAGGCGCACGCCGACGAGCTCGCAAGGCTGGAGTGCAAGAACTGCGGCAAGCCCTTCCTGCTCACGCTAGACGAGGAGATCGCCGCCGCCGTCGATCAGATCCGCTTCTTCGCCGGCGCGGCGCGCCAGCTCGAGGGCAGGGCTGCGGGCGAGTACATGGAGGGACTGCTCTCGATGATTGTGCGAGAGCCGGTCGGCGTCTGTGCCGCCGTGACGCCGTGGAACTACCCGCTGATGATGGCGGTGTGGAAGTGGGCGCCGGCGCTGGCGGCGGGCAACACGGTCGTGCTCAAGCCGTCCGACACGACGCCCGTCTCGACGCTGCGGATGGCCGAGCTGATGGGAGCCATCCTGCCGAGTGGCGTCTTCAACGTCGTCTGCGGGCGGCGCGAGACAGGCAGGCTGCTGGTCGAGCACGCCGTCCCGTCCCTCGTCTCGATCACCGGCTCAGTGCGCGCGGGGCGTGAGGTTGCGGCGAGCGCGGTGCCGCCGCCGCTCAAGCGCGGGTGCACCTCTCGCCACGACACGTCCCCGACACGTCCACGATGCGTTCCGCAGGCGCCGCTCCTCAAGCGAGTTCACCTCGAGCTCGGCGGCAAGGTGTGCTATGCTCCACAGATCCCTCCGCCACGCCCTCCTCGACCCTCCCGGCCCTCCTCCTCGCCCTCCTCCCTTCGATGACTGCCGGCGCCGGGCTGGCAGGCGCCCGTCGTCGTCTTTGCCGACGCCGACCTCGAGACCGCCGCGGCCGACATCGCCGTCGCCGCCTACTTCAACGCGGGGCAGGACTGCACCGCGGCGACGCGAGTCGTGGTCGAGGCGGCGGCGTATGAGACGATGGTGGCCCTCCTCGCGCGGGAGGCGGAGCAGAACACCAAGCTCGGCTCCGCGACGACGATGGACTCTGAGGGCGTGCTGGTCGGGCCTCTCAACAGCAGGGCTCTCGGCTGCGCGCAGCTCGCCGGCCCAGTCTCTCTCGCCCGCCCGCACGAGGGGCATGTTCTGGTGTGGCTAGGCGCAGCTCGAGCGAGTCAAGGGCTTCTTCGACCGGCTGCCGCCCCACGCGCGCGTCGTCGCGGGCGGCCGGCCCGCCGGCGGCAGGGGCTTCTTCTTCGAGCCGAGCGTGGTCGCCGGCTTGCGGCAGGAGGACGAGATGGTGCAGGAGGAAATCTTCGGGCCCGTCATCACAGTGCAGCCTTTCGCCGACGAGGCGGCCGCGGTTGCGATGGCGAACGGCGTGCAGTACGGGCTCGCGTCTTCGGTGTGGACGAGCGACCACGCGCGCGCGCTGCGCTGCTGCCGCGCCTTCGACTTCGGGACGGTGTGGGTCAACACGCACATCCCGCTCGTCGCTGAGATGCCGCATGGCGGGTTCAAGCAGAGCGGCGGCGGCAAGGACTTGAGCGCGTACGGTTTCGAGGAGTACACGCGGGTGAAGCACGTCATGTCCAAACTGTGAGGCCTCGGTGAGCCTTTCTGTGGGGGCGTTCGGAGCTCTCTCTCACCACACCGAGTATTTGGAAAATTTTATGAGATTAAAAGTGCCTTTCTCTCTCCACGAAAGGATACACGAGCTACGAGGCCGCCGCAAAATTAGAGAAGAGTGTTTAGTCCCGTCCATGAGCCATGTGTCGATACCAGTGTGCAGCGGGTTCGGGGTTGACGTCCGAGAGACTGAAGCGAATGGAAAAAACACATCACGAGACGACAATCGACATTGGGAGACCTGAATCCCGACGGCTATATCACCTCGACGGCGATGACGATGACTGCTGCCAGCGTGAGGGTGGAGAGCACGTACTGCAACACGTAGAGCTGCGAGAGCTGCTGCGCGAGAGCTGTCTGACCGGCGGCCACCAGCACCGCGATGGCGGTCTGTGCGGACGGCACCGCGGACTGTACGTGCAGCACCATTAGGGCGGCTGGCTCGTCGGGCAGCAAGCCGTCTCGCGCGGCAAGCGAGACGAGCGGGATCGAAACGGCGGGCAGCACGAGCAGCTTCACCAGCACGCTCGCGGCAATCATCCTCCGCGCGCTACTGTCAAGCGCTGCCCCGACGTCACCAACTCCACTTCCGCCTACCCCGTCGCCGTTGCCTCCGCCGCCTCCACCGCCACCTTCGCCGCCACCACCGCCGCCACCTTCGCCGCCTTCGCCGCCACCTCCGCCGCCACCTTCGCCGCCTTCGCCGCCATCGCCGAGCACGCTGGTCGCGCCCCGCATCAACGGGAAGGGCTGGGCTCGAGTCGTACAAGCGCCGCTGCCCGCCTCGCCCGCCGCTGCTTGCACCGCACGCACGCCCCCTCTCCGCCGCCGAGCAGCGAAGAGGCCAGTGGCGGAGAGGGGCAGCCCGCAGGGCAGGCGAGCCGCCCTCCTCCTCCTCCTGAGCAAAGTGTGCAGCAGTGCGCTCAGCGGCTGCTGCAGCGACGCTCCCAGGACGACGACCGACAGGGTCACGGCCGCAGCGCCAAGCGAGTCCCACGCACCCGCGAGCCATCGCAGCGCGCCGCCGTCGGAGAGCACGGACCGCAGCGGTGGGATGCAGCCGAGGCCGACGGCGACGGCCGTGCAGACGGTGTTTCGGTCGACGAGGTCTCGCCCGCACCAGAGCAGAGCCTTGCGCCACCGGCCGGGCGGGAAGCGGGCGCCAGCCGGCTCGCTCGCGGGCGGGGTCGGGGCGGCCGCCGTCCGCGCGTCATCGCGGGCAGCCTCTGCCGCGCCCTGCAGGTAGCGCTGGCCGAAGCCAAAGAAGAGGAGGCACCAGGCGCCGAGGTAGAGCCCGATGACGCCCTGCGCGGTCTCCAGCGCGTCCGGGTCGTCGCGGGTGACCGACCAGTTCCGAACGACCGGAACGGCGAGCACAAAGGGCAGCGCGGCGCAGTTGCCAAAGGCGCTCGAGACGACCGTCAGCTGGCGGTGCGGTGCGCGGAGCCGCATTGCAGACGCGGCCAGCCAGCCGAGGGCGGCACCGCCGACCACGTGCAGCACCGCGACGAGGAGGACGGGGCTCCAGCGCGCGAGCCGGTCGGCGTCGAAGCTGCGGAAGAGCGAGAGCATGAGGCACGGGTAGAGAAGCCGCAGCATGAAGCGGCTCACGCGGCGGAGCGTGTATCCATCCAGGTGGCCGTAGGCCATGGCGGCGCACCCGATGGCGCAGATGACTGCCACCTCGCCCAGGCTGACGGCAGCCACCTCGAGAGCCTCGAGGAAGAGAGAGGGCGCCATATGCGTGCGGAAGGAGCGAGCGGCACGATCGTTGTTTCACGCCTTCGTTTGCGTCCGGAAATTCTTTTCGAGTGCGGCGTTGTGTTCTTGTTTGTATGCGCTTTCTCTTTTCGGTGTTAATGACAGTGCGCGCCAGGCCACGTGCAAGAGAGCAGGAATTCTTTTGTTCACTCGGCGGTGTGCCTGCCCGAGACAGACGTCGAGAGTGCGACAATTCGCGGCAGACATGGCCTCACAGCTCATCGCCAACCTCGAGGCGTGCGCCTCTCGCGACGACCTTGGCGACATCTGCCAAGCAATCGAGGAGGCGCCCAGCTTCGATCAGCTCGCGCTCGCTCAGCTCGCCATCGCCTCGGGGGAGGCGGAGGTGACCGCGGCGGCGCTTGGCCGCATCGAGTCGCGGCTCGGCGCTGCGCTGGGCGCGCACGTGGCCGCGCGCTACAGCGAGCTCATCACCGAGGTGGACGCCGTTCGCTCGCTCGAGGCGCGGCTCGTGCAGTCGCACAGCCGGGTGGAGCGGCTCGCGGCGACGGTGCGGCGCGTCCGCACGACGACGGTGGGTCAGCACGAGCAGCTGAGCGGGCGCGTGTCGCAGCTGGAGCACATGCAGGAGTGCTCCTCCCTGCTGAGGCGGGTCCAGCGGCTGCTCTACCTCTGCTGGCGGCTGCACGAGGCGGTGGACGCGTCCAAGGCACGGAGGTCGGCGGGCGGCGGTGCGGGGTCGGGGGCGTGGCGCATCGAGCTGTCGAGCGCGGAGCTGCCCAAGGCGGCGGTGGCGCTGCGCGAGGTGGAGGAGATCCTGGAGGCGGGGGAGGAGCCGGCTCGGAGGCGTGAGGTTGTGAGCGGCGCCTCCTCACGGCGCGCGGCTTGTGAGCAGGAGGAGGAGGAGAGACTCGACGGCGTGGAGCTGGTGGCGCCCGAGCTGCAGTTCGCTCGCTCCGTCGGCGCCGCCGTCCGGCGTCAGGTTGAAGCAGAGAGCGCCTCGCGACGTCGCGCTCGAGGCGTCGCCTGCTCACGGCTTGTGCTGGCTCGCGCCTGTCAACTCTAGGCGGGGCGGGGTGAGGCGGCGGGGCGCTCCTCGACAGAATAGGTTGATGACGAGTCACGGAGTTGCCGCAGGCGGACGGGATGTTGCGGGAGGCGCTCCGGTCGCTCAACCAGCCGTCGCTCACCACCGCGCTGCAGGTCTCGTCCTCCTTCGGCCGCCTCTAACTTTCATCATGAGTTTCATTCTTCTCCCGCTCCTGCAGGTCTTCTTCTCCCTCGGCTGCCTGCGCGACAAAGTCGAGGAGGCGGTGGCGGCCGCCGCGGCGTCGCTGGGCACTGACGTGTCCGACGCCCTCACCAACATCGACGCGAGGGCGGCGCGCGGCGGGCGTGCGGGGTGGGTGGCTGCGCTGTGGGGGCAGGTTGGGGCTGTGGGGGAGCTGCTCCTCGTGTCGATCAATCGATGAGTCACTCTTCATGAATGGGCGTCAGGTGGAGGCTGTGGGGGAGCTGCTCCTCGGTGCCGCGACCCGGCTCTGCCTGCTCACTCGCGTGCTCTCCAAGCGGCGGGGCAGCGTAGAGGCGGGAAGACGAGGGCCTTGCGCTAGTCCGACCAGCGCCGCGAGAGGGACACGTCCTAATTCGTTGGTTAATTAGTTGGTTAATTAGTTAGTTAAGCGCCTCGAGAGGGACACGCTGCAGTCGCACTCGCTCTTAGCTCTCGTACGCACGCGATGCACGCCGCACGACACCGCGCTCCCAGCCCTTTAGCGTGCCCACGCCTCCAGGCGGGACCCGCTCACGCACACCCTCTTCGCCTCGCTCCTCACGGGCCAAGGAGCCGACCCGCGCGCGGGCGAGGAGGACTCTTCACCCGCCGCAGCGCCCGCCGGCGGCGGCGACAACGGCGACGGCGGCGGCGGCGGCGGCGGAGTCGGCGGGCTGGAGGCGGCGCTGCGCGAGGCGCGCGTGCGTCTGGGGCCGGGGACTTGCCGCATCGTGAGCCTGCCCGAGACTGAGCCGAGGGGTTGCGAGACTAGGCGTGGCCCGAGGCAGACCTCAGCCTGATCGGGTCCGATCCCCTCCTCGGACCGCTCCTGAGGGGCGCCGACGCCTCCGCGCCCCGCGCCGCCCCCCTCGCCTCCCCTATGGCTCCGGCCAGCGCGCAGCCGCCGGCCGGCTTGCGCGCGCTGTGGCGGCCTCTGGCCGTGTCTGCTTGCGGATCGCTCTGCTCTGCCTGCGACCGCTCCTCCTCCCTCCGGTCCGTGCTCGTCGCCGAGCTGCCTCGCCTCGTCACCGCCCTCCTCTCCTCGCTCGGCCGGCTGCCAGAGACCGCCGCCACCGCCGCCATCCCGCCCGACGCCGCCGCCGAGCTCGGGGCGGACGCGCTGCTGCGTCTGCTCCGCCCGCTCGCCGAGCCTTACCAGCAGGAGAGCACCGCCTCCCTCTTCGAGGCGAGCGACGGCTTCGCGGCCGCCCTGCAGCGGCTGGCCGCCGCCGGCACCGCCAGGCTGGGCGGCGGGCTGGGCGGCGGCGGGCTGGGCGGCGGGGAGGCCAACGGAGAGGGCGGCGGCGGCGGCACGCCCGAGCAGCCCCGTGTGGGCACGCCGGGCGGCGGCGGCGGCGGGGCGGTGAACAGCGACGCGGCGGTCGAGGCGGGTGCGGTGCTGCGCCGGCGCGCGATCGGAGCGTTGCGGCGCAGCGCCCCGGTCCGCACACTGCAGCTGGGCGTGGTGCAGGGCCTGGCTCAGGCGATCCGGATGCTCGCCGCCAAGCGCGTGCCGCCGCGCGTGCGTCCGCCGGCCGCCGCGTTTCCCGCGTCCACACTCGTGCGTTCTTCTCTCGCCACATAGGCTCGAGCTGATGCTGGCGGAGCGGCCGGCCGCCGAGGCTGGCTCGCGCGCGTGGGCGGCCTCAGAGGCTGCCAACGGCGCAACCCTGACCGTGCTCAAGGCGTTGCGTGAGGACCTGGTCGCCGAGATGAGCGGGATGGCCGAGGCGGCCGCTGCGCCGCTGTGCGTCCTGCCCCCGCCGCGGGCTGGCGCAGCCACCGCGCGGCCTGACCCCCTCGCCGTTGCCTACGACCCGTCAGGCGCGTCGCGGTCGGCGGGCTGGCGCCGGTCGTGACGACGCTCGCCAACCCGGCGACGCCCTTGCCAGACGCCTTGCGCGAGGCGGGCGCAAAGGTGCGTTCGCTCAGAACCGTGGGGCACGTGGCCCACGTGGCTCTCAACCCCACCTCTCCCTCTTGCTCTTCTCTCCCAACAGGTACTCAAGCAGCTACTCCGTTCGGGCATGATCGAGGAGGGTTGAGACTTGAGCGTGGGTGATTCGTCTCGTCCGGAGAGTGGATGCTAGTGCCTAGTGCGCCAGACCACGCGTGCAGCACTTGGTTTTTGGAGTGCAGTGTGGAGCCGCACACTTGGAGCACTTTTGGAGTGCAGTCAGTAACCTCACATCCAGGGCCGGAGAAACTCCTCGCCCTCAGTCCCCACAAAGGAAAGCAATGCGGAATGCCTCGCGGGACATGCTGTTTCGTTTCGACACAAGAAGAAAGCTAGGGGCGGTCCCGCGAGGTGCAGTTCGCGCACAGTGTTGGTACGCGTGCGGATCGTTCGGTTAAACCGTGATGGCTGATGGTGCAGACTCAGAGGGAGAGAACGCGGCACGCGCTCGGTGTGGTACACACTCTAGCCCACTCGTGCAAGGTAGCACGCGATGAGCCTGCGCAGGGGAGAGTGTCTTTCTTCTGAGTACGGCTCAGTCCTCGTCTGAAGACTCCTCCGCGTCAGACGGCTCGTAGGAGTCCCCGTCAGAGTGCTCCTCCTCCGAGCCCTCCTCATCGTAGACCTCCTGCATCTCCGCGTCCGCGTCCGCCTGGTTCTGCTCCCCGGCCTCCCGCCTCGCTTGAAATTCGCGGAAAATCTCCGGGAGATCGGAGAAGAGCCGGTGCATCGAGCGCTCGTTGAGCCACTGCTGGTGCACGTGCTTGTATGCGACCTTGACGGCAGGCCAAACGAGGTTGACGGCCACGCGCTTGTCGGCCAGCGATGCCGAGTCGTCGCCCAGCGTGTGGATAGCCAAGTTGTAGGCGGGGCGGCTGACCAGGCTGGACGCCAGCAGCACGCAGTTCTTGCCGTCCTCAAGCGCCGCCTTCATGAGAGAGGAGTTATCGCGGCCGACCGAGAAGCCGTAGACGGTCATGCTGTCGAAGAAGGCGCGTTCGACGTTCTTGGCGAAGCGAAGTGCGTCGGCCTTGTCCGCGGCGTCGGCGTCGGCGAGATTGATAACGACCATATCAGCCAGCAGCAGCTCCCCCGGCCAGCAGCCAGCCAGCAGCCAAGCAGCCAGCAGCCAAAGGGGGCTAACCAGCTAGCTACTCCCAGGGGCCGCTGGGGGCCCCAGGGGCCCCCTGGGGCCCCCTGGGGCCCCCTGGGGGCCCCCGGGGGGGCCCTGGGGGCCCCTGGGATTAGCTACTGGGTGGTTAGCCCCTTGGCTGCTGGCTGCTGGCCGGGGGAGCTGCTGGCTGGCTATTGCCACCAGAGCAGCTTAATGTCGACGGTGATCATGTCGATAGTAAAGGGCAAAGACGACCTCTCGAAAATAACCGCCAAGATGGTTGAAGAAGAAGGCTGGATTGCTGAGGAGGACGACCAAGAGGGCCTTCAGTTCGTACCCGATAAAGCCGTAACGCCGCCGCACTCGTGCCCGCCGCCGCGCCCGCGCCCGCGGCAGAAGTACATCAAGAGCCAGAGGTCGGCGCGGGAGCCTGATGACTCCCCATCGACTCGGGATGGCGCTGGTAGATGACTGGCAACGAGTTGGACCGCAAATCGCATGGCATGGAAGCGAAAGCACTGAACTCGCAAAGAGGAAGTACACCCCTCGAAGAGGCTCTCTCACGTCGCAGCTGGACAGAATCCGGCCAAGGTACATGTACTCTTGATCTGGCACGAGCGCGTAAGAGTCGCGGGAAGACGTCCGGGTCTCCGAATCTCTTAACGCGCCCAGCCAGCCCCGAATGTGCCCGTCTCCGGGCTGGTTTAGTTCCTTCCGCGTAAAGAGAATTCGAAGAAACCGCCGGGGACAGGGAACCTGAGCACTCGCAGTCTTTCCCTGCGCCTCTGACTCTGCAAGCTATGCGGGAAGAGCAGTTTATCCGCAATATATCGACGAGTTCGAGAGAGCCACAGGCTTTCGCTCGGGAGGGATTGAGTGCATCGCGACGGACTTCAGGTTACACCTGACTGAAAATCTGACGGTTCTCGCTCCCCATCGAGCTCTTCTCTTGCCGCACGGCTCTTCTGTGTGCCGGCACAGAGCTCCGTGCAAGCCTTCCAGCGTGATAGGAACGAGTGTATCGCTTCGACGGATCGACCGTGCATGTTATCAAGACCGATGTGACGCACACAGTGACACATCAGACGACACATATTCTCCCACCCGCCGGGCCGCAAAACGCTCTCGACGAGAGCCAGAAGAAGGCGTCCGCACAGCAAGCCGCTCGGCCGATCACGTTGCTCGCTCGATGCCGGCGAGCGCATTGCGCACGCTTTGCCTTTGGACGGTGGCGAAGCCAAAAACACCGATGGTGGCCGTCCGCTTTCGTGAGCGGCGGCGGTCGAGACCTCACCCTTCGCGCCGACGACCCAACCTCACGCGGAACAACCCAACCCCCAACCAACCCAACCCAACACCAAACAACCCCACTGAAAGCACGATTCTCCTGTTGGGCCTTGGCCTCGGATCCGGTGGTGTGCCTGTGATAGTACTAGCACGCGCCAGTTCGCACCTGTGTCGAGCCTGTCTGCTGTTGAGACAGAGTTGTGAGAGAGAGTTCGTTGTTTAAATTCTTCTTTCCCTGTTGCCCCCCCAACAACACACCATGCTCTCCGACCTCGTCGCGGGCGCCGGGTGCGACGTCACGGGCGAGAACAACGCGCTCGCCAAGCTCAGCGGCGCGATCTACGGCGGCCTCGAGCGCGAGTATGCTCGGCGTGAAGGCGAGGGCTCGTCCTCGTCGGCCTTTGCCGGGCCGTCTTCAGACAGTCTCCCGCCGATGAGCGAAGAGGAGGCGGCCTTCCGGGCGCGCTTCACCGGCGGGCCTAGCGAGCCGGCAGCCTCTACCGTGCCGTCTCACCCTCCGTCGCTCGCTGCTGCGGCGCCGCCCTCCGCCATTGCTCCCGCCATCGCTCCCGCCGCCACCGCCAGCCTCGCCGCTGCAGACCCCACCGAGCAGGCCGCGGTCTCAGAGGCTGTCTCAGGCGGCTACGCATCCGGCGCGAGCGGCGACGTCGGGTTCGCCGAGCACCGCCCGCCGCGCTGGCACCCTCCGCATGAGCGCTCCCTCCCTCGCGGCGGCTTTGCGCCGCCGCCCGAGCTGGTTTGGCTGCAAGAGGCGCGCGAGGCGAGGGCGAGGCGGGAGAGGGAGGCGGTGGCTCGGCGTGCGGTGCGGGACGGGTCCGAGTGGCCGGGTGGGCTGCGGGCAGAGGCGCAGGCGCAGGCGCAGGCGCTGCCGGCGGCGTCGACAGCGCGGCGAGGCGGCGAGGCGAGGGGCGACGCGAGGGGCGAGGCGAGGGGCGGGAGGGGCGCGGCGTCGGCGGCGTCGTCGGGGACGCAGTATGCGGATGAGATCGCGAGCGAGATGGAGGGGGCGTGGGGCGTCGGCGCCGGCGACCTCGACTCCGCCGCCGCGGCGTGGGAAGGGCTCGCTGACAGCGGCAGCGGGACGGGGCTGCAGGCGGGCGCGGGGAGAAGGGGAGGGGGGTTGGCACCGCACTCTCTGGGTGGGTGTGTGTGTGACGCGGGCGAGGGGTGTGCGAGTAGGCGCTGTGGGAGTCGCTGCGAGGCGAGGTGGAGGGGCTCGACGGCCTCGCTTCCCCTCCGTGGGGTGAGGAGGGAGGGGCAGCCGGCGCTGCGGAGGAGCAGCAGTACGCGTTCCGCGAGCCAAACCCGTTCCTCGGGGCGGGCGGCGGGAGGGAGGGGCTGGTGCAGGCGGGCAGCGAGCTGCTGGGGCAGGGCGACCTCCCGCGAGCCACCCTCGCCGTGGGGTGTGATCAGCGCCTCTCCACGCCTCTAGACTGTGAGCAGGCGACCTGCCGCAAGCGATCCTCGCCCTCGAGGCGGCCGTGCGGTCGGAGCCTGTTCGCGAGGCGTCCGACTCGACGCAGCTGGACGAGGCGGGGAGGGAGGAGGCGAGGCGGGAGTCCGTCGCGTGGCAGCTGCTTGGCCAGGTGCCACACCCTCGCCCTCGCCCTCGCCCTCGCCGTCGCAGTCGCCCTCTCTCTGACCCTCGCCACACCTCGACGGCTCCACACCTCGACGTCTTCACACCTCAATCTCTTCACACCTCGACGTCTTCACACCTCAATCTCTTCACACCTCGACGTCTACCTCGCCCCCTCCACCCCTCGCCCCCTCCGTCCCTGGGCCATCCCTCGCCCCCTCCTCGAGCCAGGCGCATGCCGACGCAGACGACGACGCCGCGGCGATCAGCTGCCTGCGCCGCGCCGTCGCCGCCGACGCACAGAACCTCGCCGCCCTGCTGGCCCTCGGGGTCTCGTACACCAACGAGCTGGACGCGTCCCGCGCCCTCGACCACCTCCGCCTGTGGCTGCGCCGCCACCCGGACTTCGCCTCGCTCGCGCCGGCCGAAGAGGAGGCGCAGCTGTATCTTAGGGTAGTAGAGCCTGCCCCTGGAGCCTGCCCCTGGAGCCTGTATCTTAGGGTAGTAGAGCCTGTACCTCAAGGTAGAGCATGTGCCCCTGGAGCCTGCTCCCGGAGCCTGCCGCGCGCCTCTGCTCCTCTCCCCCCCACACGCGGGAGGCAGGCCGAAAGGAGTCTAAAGTCTTGCTGAGCGAGTCGGCAGGTGGGCAAGGGCAAGTACGACGTCTGGGCGCGGCAGGCCGACACCACCGCCCTCTTCCTGCGCGCCGTTGGCAGGGCGCCGCACAGCGCCGACTTGCACGCCGTGCTCGGCGAGCCGCACACAGCCTTGTCGCATGGTTCCACTCTCCTTGGCTGGACGGCGTGGTGCTGCCCTCCCCAGGCGTGCTGCACAACCTGTCCCGCGAGTACGGCGCTGCGGTGGGCCCACGCCGAGAGGGGTGTTTCAGAGAAGAAGAGGGGCGGCCGTGCGGCTCACCAGCAGCTGTGAGCAGGTCTCCTCCTTCGAGCGGGCGCTCGAGCTGCGGCCGGAGGAGCACTCGCTCTGGAGCAAGCCGTTGTCAGCGGCAATGTGAGCATGGCCACTCATGCGGGTAGGACTACTCGCTCTGGAACAAGTTGGGCGCGACGCAGGCGAACGCGATGAGCTGCGCCGCCGCCGTGCCTTGCTACGTGAGGGCGCTCGAGTTGCGGCCGAACTATGTGCGTGCGCTGACCAACCTCGGCGCAGCGACGCCCCGCCCCTCCCTTTCCCCTCCTCCGCCTCCTCCCCCTCCGAGCCTGCGGAGGGAGCGTGCGTAGAGCGTGCGTAGGCATCTCGTATGGCAACCTGAGCGAGCAGCGCGCCGCGGCGCAGTGCTACCTCAAGGCCCTCTCCCTCAACCAAGACGCCGCCCACGTGCGGCCTCGCCCCGCACCGCCCCGCACCGCCCTCGCCTGCCCGCCCTCGCCTGCCCGCCCTCTCCTGCACCGCCCCATGTGCCTCCCTCGCCAGCCCCTCCCCGCCAGCCCCTCCCAGCCAGCCCCTCCCCCTCACCCCCTCCCCTCACCCCCTCCCCTCAACCCCCTCCCCTCAACCCCCTCCCCCCCGCAGGTGTGGACCTACCTCACGATGGTCTTCTCCGCAATGGGCCGGACGGACTATGTCCAGATGGCGACCGCCACCGACCTCGCGGCGCTGTGTGCAGAGTTTGAGGTCTGAGGGCCCAGAGAGGAGGCGCTTTGCACTACGGGCGGGAGGCCTCGACAACAGCGAGAGACCAGAGTCGCAGAGTGCTGTGGGCCGAGACGCGCGCGACACTACAGGGACTCCTGAAGGCGGTGGATGGCGCGGGGGGCTCAGCGCTCTCGCGCCGCGCAGCTGGGTGTGGTCTAAAGCCGTATGTGTGGAGAGAGGGGTGGTCGCGCGCGTATGTGTGTATCTCCTCTTATTCTCTCAGCACTTCTCTTGTGTGGTGTCGCGTGGGCTCGAATGGCTTTTTGTTGAACGAATTTTAGCGCGCCGCTCCGAAAGTGCCGTCCAGAGGCTACGCGCACACGGACTTCTACCACACGAGGCCCTTCATCTCTCACACCGTTACCTGCTGCGGCGAGTGCGCTTCGGCTCATTCCCCTGGATCGTAGCCCAGAGGCCGTACAGCGCGAAGAAGAGGAGCACCGCAAGAACCACCGTGCCGGCCAAGACCTCTTTGCGCTGCTGCGCCTGGTCGGTCGCACCCGTGGCGCGCCGCTCCGCGCGCGACTGCTTCTTTGAGTAGTCTTTCCTCTTCTGCCCCGTCCCGCCGATCTCCGAACCGACCACCAGCTTGCCGATGCTCTGAACGATGAAGGTGGCCGTCTCCTGGTATTCGCGGCGGATCAGCGGCATGCACGACTACAGGGCGCGCTGGGCTGCGAGAAAAAAAATACGGCGTGTCGCACATGGAGTGCTAGGTACTCGGCTTTCAATCCCAAACTGTCACTCCCCTTTCTCCCGGCCGGGGTGGGGCGCGCGCGGGGGCGGCGGGTGTGCGGCGAGTGTAAGAAAGAAACCAGAGACGCCAAACGAGGGATGGGACGAGGACAGGGTCCCCACCTGCACGAGCAGGATTTTGGAAGAACGATCAGGGGGACAGGTGGGGCTCTCCTGCTCCTGACAAGGGACACGACAGACTCGCAGCGCGGTGCGCGGTGGACTCCCACACCACTGGCGGTCTCATCTCAGTCTATGGCCAGCCCGCCGCGCCTGCGGGCCCGGCCGCCGCCGCGCGCGTGCCGCCGCCGCCCAGCGGCGGCGGAGTGCGCGGCTGCTCCTTCACTGTCCCTAACCCGGGCAGGAAGCGTGGGCAGCAGCAGCGCGGCAAGGGCCGCGGTGCCAGGGGCCGTGCCGATGCTGGACCCCGTCTCGTTGACAAGAACGCGCTGTCCGCGCGCGGCAGCGGGCCCTCGCGCCAGTCGCGCTCGCCGTCGCCCGACTCTCCGCCCGCCAAGCGGGCCGCCTCCGCTGACTCGTCCGGCTATGAAACCGATACGCCGGACGAGGTGCAGCAGGAGGCGGTCCGCAGGGTATGCGGCGCGCTCGGCATGAGGGAGCAGTTCGAGGCGGCGATGGCGGCGGGCGAGCTGCTCGAGATGCTCGAGAGCTTGCCGCGAGGGGCGGTCGAGGCCTCTGTCCGACAGATGCGGGGTTACAACCGCACGGGCGAGTGGCCAGAGCCCATTCTCACCAGCCCTGCCCCGCAGCGCGGCCGCTCGCCAAGCCCCGTCGATGAGTGGTCAGATGGTTAGTGCCCGAGAGCGAGGGGTCCGGGGGGGAGCACAAACATAGGACGCCCAGCCTTGCCCTCGTGCCGCCGAGTGCGTATCCTATGCGAGAGAGATCCCCTGTGCCCTGTGCCCAGCCCTCTCCGCGCGGCGATGCGCCCTCCCCCCTCGCTTTTGCAAAATCCTGCAAAGGTGGGGACGTGTCTGTCCTCGACCCAGCCCTAGCTTGGGATGTCCGTTGTATTTATTTATTTATTATATTGGGCAACCGTCGTGCTGGCGGAGCACGGCGAAGCATAGCGGGCAGTCGCCTGGATGCGGCGGCTCGACGTGGACGCGTTCGCCACGAGCGGGAACGGAAGCCTCGCCTCGCTGGACAGGCCGGCCGTGCTGGCCGACAAGCTCGACTGGCTTCGTCACGCGATGGAGGCCTACACGGGCGCTCCGTTCCTCCCTCAGGCCGCCCTTGGTGTGGAGGACGTGGCCCGCCAGAGCATGTTTGAGCAGATCTACAAATCTGGCACCTGGCAGCACGGAAACGCGAGCCTGCCCCTCTCGGGCACCGGCTCGACGGCGGAGGCGTCCGCCAACGCCCGGATCGCGCTGGCGGCTGCGCTCGGCCGCACCAGGGCGAGGAGCGTGCTCGACGCGCCCTGCGGTGATTTTACGTGGATGCGGCTGATGCTGCCCACCTTTGCGCGGCTCGGCGTCCACTACACCGGCGTCGACATTGCTCGGCCGCAGATCGCAAGGCTGCAGGCGGAGTTCGAGGGCACGGCGGGGGTCGAGTTTCGGGTGGGAGACCTGGTGGTGGAGCCTCCGCCGCGCGCGACCGCGGGCCTCATCTTCTCGCGCGAGATGACGCAGCACCTCAACCCGGAGGAGGTGCTGCGCGTGCTGCATCACTGGTCGCGCAGCGGGAGCAGGTCCGGCATGCCAGCGGTCCCGCACGCCAGTGCTACTTCTGATCAACTAAGAGTCATAACTGTTGACTACTTCACAACAGGTACCTGCTGCAGACAACCTACCGGCTTAAGGACGGCTCCAACCGCAACTTTGACCGCGTGTCGCGCGGCTCGCACTCGATGATCGACTTTGAGCGCGTGCCGTTCAGCTTGCCGCCGCCAATCGCCTCGTGGGTCGAGGACGACACGCACACACACACGGAGCGGCTCGCGCTGTGGAGGTTGCCTCTGCAGACGCACGTGTACGGCGTCGCGGCCGAGGCCGGCACCCAATATGTGAGCAACGCGAGAAGGGGGGAACACGAACAGACGTGAGGCCTATACCTGAAAAAAGCAATGTCATGTTGGCCCAATGAGCCCTCAATGTGTTTGTGTATTCACATTGTGTATTCACCTCGCTTTGCGGTGTTTGCGGAGCCCGCGGCCCGGGAGCGGGCGGGCGAGGGCGCAGGCTCGCCGCCGCAACATGCGCCGCAAGGATTTGCACACACGAATGTTTTCTCAATGCCAAAACCAGCGAGTTTGTCTTTTGCGATTCGTTTTTTGAACTGTGATGTGAACATGTGTGTGAATACTGACTGAACATGAGGAGAGAGAGAGAGACTGTCATCTATCTCACCCCGCCGCTTCTCCGCCACCACTCGTTCTCCGCCGCCGCCTGGCTCGGGCATTGAGATTTGATCCCGCCACACTCGCGATCAAAGCGAGCCCACGTTGGCCGTGGGCACGGCCAGAGCGAGTCGTAGCACGCCCACGTCTCCTCAACGAAGCGGAGGTCTGGCGCGGCGGCGGCGCAATTCTCGCTGTGGTTGACGCCGAGCCACAGCTGCTGCGTGCGGTCGAAGATGATTGTGTCGAGCCCGCGCGGCATCGCGGTGGCAAGGTTCCGGACGTGCCACGTGCCCGCCCAAAAGTGGACGGCGTACGCCTCCTGCAGCTCGTGGTAGGGGAGCGGCGCGTCCGCGGATCGGGTCGACGCCCCGCAGCGCCGCGTCCGCTTCTTCGAGTACGACTCCCACGCCGCGTTGAGAAAGTAGGGCCCCGCCGCGCTCATCACGTCCTTGTGGCGCGCGCGCGGGCGCAAGAGGCCGAGGGCGTGCTTCCAGAAGGGGTGGCGCGGCGCTGACGCCATGAAGAAGTTGGTCACGTACCGCGTGTGCCTCGACCGCTTGCTCTGCCCGGGCTCTCTCACCTGGGAGGAGCGGGGCGGTGGGCGAAGCTCCCCGCAATCAGACGCGCGACGGAGTTGCGGGGCCGGGCGTGAGGCTTACAAGGACGAGCGGCTTGTGGAGCAGCCCGTCGATGCTGTCGCCACACCTATGGCTGGCCTGGGCACTGAGTCCGAAGAGTGCTAGCCGCCGCAGGCCACCTGTGGCCGGCGGCGCACGGTATCACGTCGAGGTCGGCGTAGACGCCGCCGTGCACGTGCATGTACAGCAGCCGGCTCGCGTCCGCCCTCCGGATCCCCGTCGGGCGCTGGATCTCGTAGCCCTCACGCACAGAGGCCCCGACCTCGTGGCCGTCGCGGACCGTGTGCGGCGTGTCGTTGTAGGCGGAGAAGACGTCGATCAGCTCGGGCGCGTGCTCCTTCCAGAGCCGCTCGTTGTCCTCGTCGGTCCAGAGCCTGTACTCCCACCCGCTCAGCGATCGCCAGCGGGCTGAGAGTGGCTCGAGTGGTGGCGGCGGTCTCTTCTCCTTCCATGACTGATGAACGATCCGCGGTATGCTGCTTTTGTCGTCGGCACAAATTGCCGGCGCTCCACGTGCTCGTCGAGCCGCAGGGAGCCCACCATCCGTCACCACTGGTGTCCGGTTCGTCTCGTGAGAAATGCGGCCCGAGTTTGATGCTTGCAGAACGTGGAGCGGGAAGGCGAAGAGAAGAGCGACCAGCAGCAGGGTGGCCGCGAGGTCTCTCCTCATTGGAAACGTGCGAATCCAACGTTGTAGCGGCGCGAATACACAACGTGTCAAAGCTCGAACAGCGCGCGCACCTGGCTGAAGAGCCAAAAGAGTCGAAGCGCCAAGCGCCGAGAAGTTAGCCGCGGTATTTCTTCATTTTCTGTTTCGGCGGGAAAAAAGACGGTGGCGCGCACGGCCCTCTCGCGCTCGGACACCGACGTACAAATGTACCTGTTCGAAACCTTGGCGGGTGGTGTTAGGCTTGTATGTAAAGAAAGAAAGAAAACACACACGCTGTATGTTTCCTCTCGCACGTTGCCTCGTTTCTTTTCCGTGTTTCTCTCCAGCACCCTTTCTTCTTGCTTGGTTAATAAAAAACTCTCTCTCCCTTTCGTTGTTTGGTATTGCTAAAAATCTCTCTCTCCCTTTCGTTTCCTCTCTAGTTTCCGGGGAAACCATCAAATTTTCCGGGCTCTGAGCCGAGTCTGAGAGAGATTTTTGAAAACCAATTCTCTCCGAGTCTGAGGCTGGTTTGGGCCCAAAATAAGCCGAACCGGCAAATACCGGGGTATTTTGCGGGTATAACCCCCGGGTATACCTGGAAAATACCCGGTAATTTTGCCGGGGGTTTGCAGATTTTGCCCCAGACCAGCTCAGACTCAGGGAAACTTGAGAGTTGCCAGAATGGAGCACCAAACACCCTCTGGTTTCCCTCGAAATTTCCGGAAACTAACGCAAAGTGCTGGGGACCCTTTGGTTTCCCTCTGGGTTGCCGGAAACTCTCATACCCACAGGCCAAGGGTGGTGCAACGCAGTCAAGCGGCTGTTCTACCACCACTGTTCTACCACCACTACCAGATGAAGGACAAGGTGCGCAACAAGCTCTCCAAGCGGCAGCACGAGGACGAGGCGAGCTGGTCGACGCGGTCGTGGCTGTCGCTGCAGGCCCAGCGCATGTCAGAGAGAGAGATGTGTTTGTGTTTTTTTGTTTGTCATGTCATTCACACCGTGGATCCGGGACGGCTCTCTCATAGCACATGGACATGTTATGGTGTGTGATGGCTGTTAGGGGGCCGGCCCATAACAGCCATAACACCCAAGAACATGTTATGGGCTGCTATGCCCCGAGAGCCATAACACCATAACAATAACTGTGAGTGGGGTGCAATGTCAGTCGCGCTGCAGCTCGCTCGCGGCGGCGGATGAGATTGCGACGAGCTCAGGCTCGCCGCGTGGCGTCGGAGGACGCCACCGTCGCCTACGTAGACTCCCTTGCGTCACTACGTGCCTCCGTGTTTATCCCGTGCCCGATTTTCGTTTTTTTCGTCCCAGTTCCGGTGCTGTCTCTCCCTTCTCGACTGTATCTGTATGTATATAGAAAGGTGAAGAACAGCCAGGCTCGGTCGGACTGGACACCAAGCGCGGTGTGGGTGTCTCTGCTTTTGCGAAAAAAGGCGTCGTATCTGCTTTTTGCTAAAACCGGGCCGCCTAGTGCAGCATCACTAGTATCCGTAACACAAAAAGAAGAAACGCAGCGAAACTTCCGATTGCCACACGTTCTGAGGCTGTCCATGCTCGGTGGATCTGTCTTGTCCTCCCCGACATGACATAGACCCTTGTAATGCGAGAGAGTGCGTTGTGTTCTTGTTTTCTATCCGCTTTCTTGTGCGAGGGAGTTTCTTCGTAAAATTCTTGTATGGCCGAAAAAAGAGAAGTCAAAACTTCCACACGTCAGCCCGCACAATGCCTGTCGCACCATTCTTGCTCTGCTGCTTGACGGTGGTCCTGGCGGCCAGCCCTCCGCCGCCAGCCGTGTCGCCAGCGGGTGGCTCTCCGCCCGCAGCGAAGCCGGCCGCGGCCTCCGCACAGGCTGAAGCAATTCCAACCTCTGAGCCATCCGAAAAAGATGTTGCGAACGCGAGTGATGCTTCTCCGAAGAAGAGAGCACGGCAAAAGAAGGACAATGAGACCAGCAGAAGCGTCGGCGGCGGCGGTGCCGGAAGCAAAGCGGCGAAGAGCAAGAGCAACAGCCACACCTCCAAGGCCAAGAAACGCTCTGCTGCTCCCTCCTCCCCCTCCTCCAAACAACGCACTTGGGTTAAGAAGCACCAGACCTTGATTGCTATTATTCTCATCGGCCCTGCCTGCGCTGTGCTTCTCTTTTACTTCATTCAGAGGGCTCGAGCGCAGTCGGCTTCAAACCAGCCAAAGGCCGAGAAATTGCCTAGCGACAACCTCGCGCCCGCGGCCGACTCTGAACCCGAGGGGCCTGACTCGCCGCGCCCGGACCCTTACGCCTCGGCCTTTGGCATGCAGTCGGACTCGCCTCCTTCATAGCCGCAAAGCACCACGAATCAAGGCTTTCTCGAGCGGTGTTGCGGCTGAGGGTGGAGACGAGTCCATCGCGGCCTCCTACACCCCACACGTGCCACGGCGGCACTCTGTAGCGCAGTGCATACACAGATTACCGCCCACGACTCGCTCGTCGCCACACCTGTGCGCAGAGTTGCAGTTGTGTGCATGGCCGCATATGTGCGCGGGTGTGTATGTGTGTGTATGTCGTCGTCCGTCGACCTGGGCGCCGCGCTTGCCATACAGTGTCTCAGTGTGGCCAGCGCGAGCAGGTGTACCCCAGCGGGCAGCACGGCCGGCGGTGGTACACCCATCTTGCGCGGGCGTGCTGCGCCATACTCGAGTATGCCATTGCCAAAATTCAATGCCATTGCTCGGGTGTGGTGGGCATCGACCGCCGAGGGAACGTTGGGAAGAGGCACGAGGAGGGCGGCGACCTCAACCGACTATGGAGGACCCGTCACCAGACGACGCAGGGCGGACGACGGTGAGGCGGAGCAGTCGCGCAGGGCGAGACGAGGGAGGGAGCAGGACGTTGCGGAGATCAGCAGGAGGATGTACGAAGAGATTAGGAGCAGCAGGGACCCGAGGGACCATGTGGAAGACGGCTAGTGTGCTAGTCCCCCATCGGGAGGACGACCCCGGCTAGTCGCCGACCACACCCACAAAGAACCCTACACAAAGACCGCAGGGCGGGGACCTGTTCCTTTTTACCCATCTCCTAGTAGAGGTGTCCGTTTTTATTTATTTATTTGTGGTGGGCCGCTGACTTTTTTGCAGACGACGAGTTTTCACGTTAGTTTGAAGTAGAAGTACACGGCCCGCAAACAAAGATCGGGGCGTCGCCACCGTCCCCGACTATTTGGTCCACGGTACACAGACGCTTGCAGCGCCACCTCAGTCCGCGACGCACTGCACGCAGCCCGCCCGCCCGCCCGATAAATTACGGCGCGGCGTCGTGTCACGGACAGCCCCCGCCCCTACCCCCCGCCCTGCCCTGCCCAACAGACTCCCGCCCACTAAGGCCCACCCACCATCACAGAAGAGACGACCGATCATGTGCATGTGACATGGCATGCCTTACCCAGCCCTCAAGGGCCGCGTGGCATGCTCCGCGGTGCGCAGCTCAGGCGGTGGCGGTGGCCGGGATCTTTCCCGTGCGGACGTTGTACGCCTTGAACTGGCGCGTGAGGAAGAGGCGGCCCTCGTGGAAGAGCGTCAGCGATATGATGCCCTTGAAGATGCCGATGCCCTGGCCGCGGAAGATGCCGCTGAGGCCAAACTTGGCCATGTGGGCACCGAGCTCGCGCACAGCCTGACCGCGGCACGGGGGGGGGGGGGGGAGGGGGGGTGACCGTTGCAAGGGAAGACTGCCGCTGTAGTTTCGACAGCGGTGACTGGCGAGGGGCGCGAGCAGGAGGGGCGAGGGGTGCAGGCGGGCGGGGCTGCCTCGAAGGGGCCGATGGACTTGCCCTTGATCGAGTTGGTCTGCATGATGACCTCGAGGCGGGAGAGCGGGTTGGTGACGACCACGTAGATGGGCGAGACGACGGCCGACGCGACGAGGTTGGTCGCGGAGCCGGACAGCTGTCCCGTCTGGCCGATCTGCTGCTGCACGTACTTTTG